CGCGCGCTATCTTCTCGCAAAGCCTGAACAAAGAGGTGTGTCACAGCATACGAACGAACGCTGACGTAGAAAATCCGCTTGTTTGCCCATCCAGCCCCTTCCTGCTCGACTTGCAATCAGCAAACGGAACGACGCTCAATGGGACAGAGTTGCAGCCTGCCCGATACTACGAGCTCTTTTCGGGCGACACGATCAAGTTTGGAGCGAGCGAGAGGGAGTGGACGCTGCTTTGCGAGGAGTGAGGAGACTCGAGGACGACACTAAGGTCATCACTGCAATCTCGATCCACAGAAACATACGAGTCTGTGGACACTGCATGTAATTTCTAAGTAATTTACATTCACCGCAAATGTGAAATCGAATGCCATGATCACTTTGGAGATGAGCGGACGTGCAAAAAGTGTTTGGACAGAAGAAGCATCTACAGACGAGACAGATCTCTTCCGTAAAGACCCCGTCGCTTTTGGAGGGACAAGCAAGTCGGATGCATCAGATGTCAGCAGACCGTATGGGGAGCGCACACGGGAGCGCATACACCAACATTCTCGAGGCGAGGTTGCACGCTCGGGATCAAACTCACAACGTAGTCCATCAGAAGCAGCAGGCGTGTTCTGGTGCTGACTTGCTCTCTATTGGATCGGCGCAGCGTGAAGGTGATCAGCAAACCCAACACAGCCAGCCGCACTGTGCAGCTTTCGCACTCACGAGAGGTAGAAGCTACGCCAAGCGTACATGGCGAGGAGACCACCAGCAAGGCTTCCCAAAGGTTCGGGTAGGGGCAGATCGAAAGCTGCCGCGTTGCCCACATAGGCCAAGCTTCCCAGGTTGGTGTACTTGAAAGGCTTGTAATAAGTGTCGTCCACATCAAAAACGTCTTCCGCATCGTGAGGATTCATATCCTCTCCGGCATCTCGCTTCCTCGCCAGCTTGTTCAGCTTCCGTGCCAGGTACACTCCTTGCTGAGAGGCGACCTGAGCAGTGGCGGGCAGCGCCGTCATCTTGTTTTGCGTCTCCAAGAACATGCTCGCAATCTCGTTGAGATTGAGCTTTCCATCGTGGTCCACATCGTACCTCTCAAACATGTCCTGAAGCTTTTGAAAGTGCTTGGACGCAATCGGGAATTTGCGCTGAGCGGTGTTCGAGTGGCAAAACGTGGATGAGCGCGGGCTAGCCAGCTTGAGTGTGCGATCAGCGCATACTCACACCAACTTCGTTCGCAAGCGCCTGGAATTCGGGCATGGTGAGCTTGCCGTCGTCTAGCAACAGAAAAGTCGATGGTCAGCTGAACCTGCTACCGACCACCGCATGCGATACATTGCGACACTCACGATCCGTGTCGCATTTGTCGACGAACTGGTAAAGATAGTCGATGAGCCTAGTGTCAATGGTGCTCGCGTCTCCAAGCGCATACACCGATCCAAGCGGCGCGCCCTTGACTCTAAGATGGCTGTCTATCTGCAGAGCCTTCAGGTGGCTTTGGTTCGGTAGCAACTCCGTCAATCGCTTGGTGAAGGGAGACATGGCAATGCCAGTGCTCCACAGCGTGAATCCGGAGGGCACTTCGTACTCTGTGACTTTCCCAGTCTCGGGGTCCTTCTTGGTGTACACGACCTTGTCCTTCTCCACCCTCTTGACGCGCGCAGAAGTGATGATGTCGACTTCATCCCTCGCAAACTTCTTCTCGGCGAATTGAGAGATAGCTTCGGAGTAGGTGTTCAGAATGTGCTCTCGACTTTGAATCAAGTGCACCTTGGCTGAAGCCCGCAAGAGCTTGGGAAAATAGTTCAACACATCCTCGTTCAGCATGTCGTAGATCTCTGCAGCTGTCTCGACTCCAGTTGGCCCACCACCCGAAATGACGAAGCTGAGCAGTCGATCGCGCTCTTCCTGTGTCGTCGTGGGCAGACTCGCGATCTCGAGATTGTCTGCAATGCAAAAACATTGAGGTCGATTTGATTGAGAGGATATAGAATGCTCCGTTTGGGCGCAGCTCTCCCAGGCATCGCCAACTCACCCATGATGTGGCTACGGATGCGCCTGGCGTCTTGCACAGTCTTGAGGTGGAAGCAGTGTTCCAAACCAGGTACGCCGTGCGTGTTTGTGACGCTACCCACCGCCACTACAAGTCTGTCGTAGGGTATGTATACCCTCTTTCCACCCGCGCCCTGCTCTCCCGTTCCCTCGAGCGTAGTGTGATCGTTGATCACTTCCACCTCCAGCAATCTGTCTGAGCCGCCCCTGTCCGCAGGCATAGCCTCGCCCATCACCACATCCACTGCCCTTCCCTGAACGTAATGACCATGGTGACGAGCAATGACCTTTCTGAGAGGCTCTACCAGAGATCTCGGCTCCACTGTGCCGACTGTAGCTGAAGGCAGCAGCGGAGTGAAGAGGTAGAAATTGGATGGTGCGACCACCGTCACTTGGTACTTTTCTGGATCCAGCGTGCTGAGCAGCGACACAGCTGCAAGTCCCACACGAGACAACAAGGCGTTAGATGATCGACGCAGGTATCATGCGCAGTGGTCTCCCACGTCCCACCTCCACTCACCTCCCCAGCCTCCGCCAACAACGACCAGCCTCTCCTTCTGAGAGATGCGCTTCGCTCGCTCGTCCTCCTCTCCTTCAACCCAGTGCGAGACGACGGGTAGTCCTTTCGGTCCACCAGGCAAGGGATGAAGCGCCAGTGGACTGGTCGGTACGCCATCCACATGACTCTCTCTGTATGTCAGCGCATCATGAGCCAAGATGACTCCCAGCACGGTGGTCAGGCCGAACACTACGCTGCCCGCTGTAAAGACTGTGAACCTGAGTGCCCGGACGGGAAAAGATCTTTTGGTATTGCTTTTGGGTGTGGATGCTCCCGGCACTTCTGTGGATGCTAGGCGGATGGCAGAGGGTGGTCGGCATCGAACGAGGAGCCTGGCAGCGGGCAGAGGCGGGCGAGTGGGAAGGGCAAGC